TTGTGTTAAGCTATCTACTCGAGCATTTTTATGAAGTTCACTATATTGAACTGCTCTTTAAATAGGTAATATGTTTTAACTGCGATACCTATTGTTTCTAATAAAAAAAACTTATATTATTTGAATGTGTCATGAACATTTACGACGTCCACAGATAAGTTTTGATCAGGATTTACTTTTTGTGTTTGCCAAACTATCTATCAGGGGTATATCTGTCAGAAATATCTGGGGACTCCTTTGTGGATGGTATTTGATCAGTGACACGGGCGGTGAGTGATGAATATTGTCAGGCAAATATAACAAAAAGCAAAACTATACGCGGTGTTAGTTTCACTAGGGTTGGTCCGTCGAAAGATTGTGTGGCGCAGAACGTAATGTTCTTTGATATTAACTGTATGAAATTTTAAAACAAATAGGTCTAATTCATTATATTAATTATTGAATTATTTTATGAATTATTTTGGACAGTGGACGGATAATGACTGAAAGGATGATGATATATATATAAAAAAATAATGCATAGGTATGAATAATTTTTTTAAGACAGATAAGAACTCTACACTCTGAAGTGAAGCAATTTGGTATATGTATTATGAATGTAATAGAGTGGGCCAATGAACTTAATAATATGTATTATTACATCCGTTGGCCCACTCTATTGGTAAAATTTAGACCAAAATTTACTTGGTTATTTAAAGTTATTTTCATAGTCAAATATTGATTCAATGTATTTGAGATATTTAAAATAACACCATATTATTCGGAGATGTGTACCTTCTGTTACATTGATACTCTTCAGTACTCGAACAACCGGCATAAATCGTTCGGAAATCGTTCAGTAATAAATCGAATGCTTTTTAATGGCAGTTTATCGCAGTGAGCTTTGCGGTATTCAGATTACGGGTATGGCCTAAGTGGCGGCAAGGGAGCGGCACGTGCTCCTTATCTATGTCTCTCGACACTTTCAATATTCGATTTCGTCGCGGGCGCGGTTTTGTTTAGTTTTTTTACACTGACTGTACTCACGCGTACCAACAATAAATATGATTTTTGCAGCTATTTCAAGTTCATTTACATTATTAACAATTACATTACTGATAGTATCTAGTCTACATTATTATAATTCGATGCGCTCACATCTCATTTAAATTTAAGCTGGTAGACCAAAAAGGTTAAACCATGTAATTTTTACATGCGGTTAAAATACTGATATTTTCTATGACTGATATAGAGCACTACGAAAAGAATTCGTTTACTCTAAAATGGAGTATTTAAGCCGCTCTAATACTTGAAAAGTTCACCTATTCGTTCTAATAGACATATTTAACATTGTCCCATCTATGAAACTCACTAGTGCTATTATAAATATTTCACGCCGAAGTTTTTGATAAATATGACTATATAATTAATAGTGATTTAATTAAACTTATACAACAACATTTAACTTATGCAACATTTATTCTTTCTAGGTCATGTGCAATATTATTTTTGGAAGTAACGAACCTCTCCAAACCCTTTATCAGAACGTCACAACCGAGAAAAAAATAGTAAGAACATAACAATCGCACCCCAAAAGCGTAACCGAAAACGGGACTCACCGCAATCCAAGCTAATGGAGTGTCTCATAATGACGGTTGCTGACATAAAAATAAATAGGCGAGAGTCAGTTTCTGCGTAAGCCGATACTATGATAACAGCATCGCTCCCCCGATAATTGCCAAACTTGTGGACGCCCAACGCACTCGTACCTAGTAATGTAGTGCGGATTATGGTACCAATGTAATTGATCTTACTTGGCGACGCCAATTACAGAAGCTTTGATAGTGGAATTACAAGATATGAAGTTAGTTTTACTTAGTCCTGATTGGGGATTACTAATAATATATTGTTTTATAGAAGAGGTATATATGTCCTATTATATCAGAAACACATACATACATATCTGTCACGACTGTCTCCAATATATCAGAAATTATTTATCATTATCATTTCAAAGATTCATAATCTAATGGTTTAAGTAGACGAATCTTATTTTCAAAGACAATTTAGTGGAGATTAATGGTATCTAACTGAGAATTTTAAGGCAATCTAACCTATAGAACTTTTTTGACATTCCAATAATAATAATAATAATAATATATCGGTTCATTTAGTAACTCCACGGCAAAATAATATAAATTCTATAAGAGACGCCAGTTTCTTGATCAGTATCAGTTACGTAGCTACTCGTACTTAACGTATCCTAAAGGAAAGTATCCCGCCATGATTACTATAATTATTAATTATTCAAGGCACATCGTAAAGGGTACAAACGCAGAGATAGTATTTATGGAGTATTCAGGAATCATAATCAAAATTTCATTTTGTTTTCTTTCTCAACAAATCACAGTGTTTGTGTGAAGAATTTTAAAATTATTTTAAGATTTCGACTTGTTATTTAGAGAGAGAGAGAATTGTTGAGTTTCGTTAATACTATTTTGGCTTACCTTGCAACTTTAATTACAATTTTATGATACCGTGCAATTTTATGATACAATAATGTTCTGAAGTTTTAGGTGCAGGAACACGCCATAGGCTTAAGCGCAAAGATTTAGGTGACAAACTTTATTGCGTCCAAGAATATACTGTTGTCTATTACGGGAACATAAATCACGGATGGGAAAACAATAAGCGTGAAATTGTGGAAACTGCGGTCGACGTCTTCGGTATTAAATCTTGGGGGAGTGAAATAAATAAAAATAAATCTGCGCCAACCCTCACGCGAGAACTTGATTTATTTGATAAGTGTTACAAAGAAAACGCTGTATGAAAATGTTCTGCTTGGCTAATTGAATTTAATTATTAATGACAGAAAACAAGGGCGAATGATCTAAAATTGTGTTTACTAGTTTTTGCTTGCTACTTATTAAGAAAATTTATGTGACATTAATCGTCAGTTTTAACTGCAACGAGTTCCTATTGTATTGTATTGTTGGAAGTAACAAGACACCTTTGTTAATTACAAAAAAAAAAAAGCTATTATTTTAGATTCTTACGGTATTATTTTTTTAAGCGACTTCTAAAACGTAGAGGTTCTTTGTTATCTACTTTGTTATGTATGTGTATAGTAGTACGTAGTATCCTCGTTAGTTTTGAAATTAGCAAAATTACTGCGTCGATAATTTAGTTTTGGAATTAATAGAATTCACTACTGTCTGAAGTCTATATTAATTTTGTCATTATTTATCCAAAGAAAGAAATATTAATAGTAAACTGGCGAAGCTACAACGTAGAATACTCACTTAAAAAGTGAATTAAAAAACTACGTACTTTTTAAAGTTGAATAAAATGTTAATATATTATTAATAATAATGTTAATGTACTATCACAATATTTATCCCTCTATTCTTATGCCAAGTTCTTTGCGGTGTAGGCAAAAATAACCAAATGGGCTCTATCTTTACATATATATATATCTTTTGCTTCAACCGCTTTCATAATTCGTCTCATGCATGTATGCCAAATGTAGAAATCATAAGTCAATGAGTGGTCTTATAATTTGACATTCAAATTTTAATTATACATTATATATGTATAATATATATCTTTTAAATTTATATTACTACAATAGACAAAGGACATACATATAATTAGCAAAAGTTGCATTTATGTACTTTTGAATTATAAGTTAATGCAACTAATTACTTTCTTCATATTTTTTTATATGGATGGAGATAGATTTCGAGGTTCCGAACATTCATATTCAGTTACACAGTTTTAATTTGTCATCTCTTTAATTTCTATTTTGTTTTCATAAATCTCATTTACATAGATATAGGACAACTATTTAATAACGTATGTACTTACGTTTTGTATGACTTTAAGTAGTATTTCATCATAAAAGAAGCACAAAACAAATTTATTTGACAATTGTATAATTTCACATATGTAAGTATTATTTTTGTCAGAATTCTAGGATTATAACAAATATTAAATATAATGTGTAGCGATGTATCAAATATTGTGTATAACTTATTATTTGTTACTGTTAGCCTTAAATACATTTTGGATGTTTTTTTGTTATTGTGAGATAAAGTCAGTTACTTATGTTACTATTTTTTTTTAATCAGTTATATATTTTTTTTATAAATATTGATATTAGATCTCGAGTTTTAAACTCCAAACACAAATATATGAGTTATTGTAATAATTACCAAAGTAGCAAATACTCTGCGTGACATTTTTAAGACAACCCTTTTGGGTTGTCTTAAATAGTATTATTTAGTATATTTATTGTAGGATGAAGCAAGTAATTATGTATGTTAAATTGTTAATAATAACTATTTTTAGTACAAACTACTAAGCCGTCAGCTTGTTTGCCATTCTAAGCTGTATAAAAAAAAAGACAGAAAACAGATCTCATAAATAATGATAATTCGGGTGCTCACATCAACAAATTAACACATCATTACATGTGATATCTAATAATAGAGGGAGTTTATTCGCTTTCGATAAGTCAAAAGACACGCAGTTACAGTATTTTACAGATTAAATAACATACTTACATTTATTAATCGCACTTAAACAACTGAATGAATTTCAATTAATAAAATTAAATTTGGTGCACAGACTATAAGAAATTCATAAGCGTTCATATATAGGATACTTTTTAAGCTATATGTATTGTAATAGGGTGATTTTCAGCAAGTACGACCCCTATCCAACTTCGGTGAACCTTTCAACTGTGCATTCAACTTCGAGTCCCCAGAAAAGCCGATATTCCTGAAATATAAAAGGAATCATTTTATAAAATATTTTCAGGAGATATATAAATTTTCTCGACTTGAAACTAAATTAGTTCACCAAAAATAAACAGAAATCGCACATAATCCGATATCACCCAATAGTTTATAGTATTAATATGGGAAATTATGTAGCAATTTTAAGCTAACATTACCCGTTTTTAAGTTAAGTGTATCGTCTTAAACGGCAGTAACGTGCTACTATGTCCACAGCTCCAGACCGGGCCGACCACCGAAGCGCGCGTCCGGTGTGGGCCTCTCACTAGCCGCCACCCAGTTCCCTGGGCACCCCTTCAAAAAGCACCGGCTCGAAAATGGAGACTATTCGCCATATGAAAATGGACACATGAGCGGTGAGTTATGCTAATTAAATTTTTAATCCTTATTCATACAGAGTTCAATTATTAGCATTATTTTAGTTTTTCCCCAATTCCAAAATAAGATGTGTACCTCCTATAATAACATGGCACAGCCTGTCAACTGAGTATGAGAGGTTTAACATTTTTAATCATTTATAGATCCATAATATTTCTTAAGGGAAAGTGTTCACTGGTAGAGGATACATGTAAGTTCTTAATAATACAGAATAAAATTAAAATTTATAATAAGCATTTTTTTAAAAGAATGCTTTACCAGTGGATCTGAACCTTTTCTCCAAAGAAACATGCATCGACAAACGCCAAAAAAGACAATAAAATAAAATAATAAACTAAGTAGCAAAGTGTAGAATACTTTAAATTTTTATCCATTGATGGAAAGTGATACCATAACTTATAGATATGTATAACACTATTGAAAGAGTAGATATTTACAGCGCTATTTGTCCATAATATCATGATATTCTACTATTTGAGGATTAAGATTTTATGCTTTTTTATATCTTCAAAATTTGTACACACATAGATACACTATAGTTTAGGATTTAACAAAAAATGTAAATTAAAAACCAATCACGATGAAGAATCTAAAACGAGATAAAGATGAAAGAAAAGTTGCTGTTAATCGTCATCGTTGGTTCTATAAACAACATTATTATATTTTGAAATGCATTTTAATTATTATAGAATCGTTTATGGGGATTAATGTGATGTAAATTAAAATAAGCAGTAGCATGACACGCGATAACATCAAAATTGTACTCTGTAAGCTCCGGATAGACCCCGGATATGAACCCCGTCTCGGGAGGTATGCCTGCTCATTTCATATACAAATTACACAAATACAAAATTATCTCAACACAAACGGAGAAAAGGGAATAAAGTGATTAAATAGAGCTCAGCGCAAGACGGCTAGCAATCAATCATTTTTGTCGCTTACGGCTTTGTTGATTCTTGTGTACTTCATCTCTTTTACTCCAACATGTTTTGCGTATTCGCCTCTTTCTGGCCCAAAGTGTCGTGCCAGACAAGGGAGCAATTACATTCGTGATCTTGCATAAGCGGCACTTGCTTATCGCGTACTGCCGCATTTGACTTTGAGTGTAGTGTTGCTTTTTTCCCCTAAATTTGCAATTCCAAATGCTTGTAAGTGAGAAATGGTGTTTTTATTTTGTTATTTTGCAACCTTAATTTTGTATGTTTTCGTTTAAAATAGAAAAAAAAATCCAATATGTGATGTAATGATTGACCTTAAAATTGATATTCATAACCTTTTAAAGCTCTTGTCATTACCTGTCTTCGTAGAGTGAGCATTACTTATTATTGTATTAGAAACACGTCTATGCTCAGTTGGTTTTAATTATTTTACAATTAGACGGAAGATGGATGAGTCTCGTAAGGGGATCGTTTTGAGATTTGAAGCTTTCGATCAATCTTTAACTATCTTTTAGACAATTTGGTACTTCTATAAATTTTTAGATATATTATTTTTGATATAATTATATGATATACTTTGAATGATATTTATTTATCATTAAATTTAATAGTTAGTTGCTAAGCGTGTGTATATTTGTTTTTCTCGTAAGACAGCAATGATATTAATATATTTTTAAATATAGTTGTAAACAATAAGCGTTCCAATACTTGATATTATATTGAAAATATATCGTCACATATAATTTTCCATCATCAATTTTAAAGCCATTTTAATTAAATTCGTGCACGTATCAAATTGCTATACTCCGTATCTATATGGGCTCCAGAGTTAAGCCAATATTATTTTGACGAGTCGTTGACAGTGGTTTACAGTTGATGAAACAAACGCACACACAAACATCAGAATTCTGGAAGGTATTCTCACACATAAATCTAATCCATATACGTCACGCATTCGTGACAGGGGTGCCTCTGTTTGAGTGAGTAAGGAGGCGGGTGGCCCATTTTCACCCCGTGAAATAATAGGATACGAAAACATCGGAGGCAGAATATAATCCTCCTACGAAGGTTGAACGGAATGGAAATAGGAATATGAAATGCGTGAAAGGGACGTGTCGGCCCACGTGCTCGTTGAAAGGGTTACCGATGTTTATCTTTAGAAGGTAAATCAAAATCGATGTTCATTTCGTGTTGCGCCTTACATCTGTGATAAGATATTTGACACAAAGATTTGCATTTTTTTACTTTCAAATGTATCGTCAGTCTTATTTTATAAAAAGACAACAATTTTCAATTAAATGCTAATGTAGTTATAGTTGATACTATTCAGCGATGAATTTTCAAGATATTTAATTATGCTACTTAAATATATTATAGACGAGCTTTTCACAATACATTTTTATAATAATTATAGTATAGTAAACGAATATATATGATTTTAATTGTTTCAATTTTTATGTGTATCTCATATTTAGAGACAGCCCTAAATTTCGTGAACTGGTATGAAAATGATGTGTTGATAATAATTAAAGGTTCCGTGGTACTGTCGCCGCTCGGATGTTATAACGGGGGGATAATGCAAGGCATTATAACATTACTCGCTGGGGTATAAACCTTTACATTCTGATTGAATTCTGCGACTGAAATTAAGTAAGGATTTGCCTGTTTATGTTAAGGGCGAGGGATGTGATGGATCAGTCAATTTGCAAATCTGTGTTCCATTCTCGCCTTTGTTCTTGTGTTGTTAACACGATTGTGGAGTATAATTATCGCTTAAACAAAGACTTTATTTTTGACTTGCCCTATGGCCACAAATATTTTTAGGCATTTTTCCGTTTAAGATTATTGCTATTATTTACTATTAGTTCAATTTAAAACGCGTTGTTAACTATATACTTCCACTTTATATTTTATTATATAGTTAGTATATAGCTTTCATCTTTATAAATTTTGTATGTGGATCATAATGGCATTCAATCAAACGTTTCCACTTTATAAATCGTTTAATACATCACCGTTACACGAGAGTCATTTACAGCTACCTAGTACGTTTTCTACTTCATGTTTAATAAACAAGGTACTTATTCGTTCTTATTTCCATTACACGAAATAATCACATAATTATCAGCAAAAGCTCAACAACTAACATCATTATCTCAGGTGGCTTTTTACATGAAATGTGGCCATTACACATTTATCATGCCGCAAAAAACTAGTGCCACAGCGATTTCAAAGCATTCATAGAGATTTTTTTTTCTTTCACTTTACATACGTAAGAACAGACTGCTCGGAACTGCATTCATAGCTATTTCTTGTTGGCATTGCGTTTACAATTTAAATGGTAACATCAACAGCCTAGTATATAGTTAGTGAAACAAATTACTGCGCATTGCGTCTTATAAGGAAACGCAGTGGAAACCGCGGTGGCAACGAATTAAACACGGTGGCGATGCGTAACGGTTCAAAATACATTACTGCAATTGGAAATTTTATTGTCTACTAACCGTAATTCGCGACTTTTTCCACGTGATTTATGATAAAATTAGATTGAAGTAGGTATCTAGCTGTTTTTGCAAATCAAAATTTTGTATTTCCTATATCAGAATCAGTTAAGCAAATCAAGGATAAAGCTTGACTCTTCCATTGTATGAAGTTGCGTAGTCCCTAGAGATCTTTGTTAATTGGACAATGATATTTACAAAATTGAAATATCTTAAATGGTATTAATAACAAATCACATTATATTTTTACGCATTAAGTTAATGTCAATTAACATATAGATGAAATTGCGATTACAATTTAGTCTTTAAGAAACATATAAAAACATATTATTGTAAATAACACTTATTCACGACGCTACCCTTTATACATTATCAATCAACGTAATAAATTAACTGTTAACTTTGTCACAAACGTACATTTAGTTCACCTGTTTTTAATTGAAGGAGAATAGTTTACGTTTTTTGCGGCGCACGTGCAATTCTCAAAATGAAGTCTGTATTAAGTTCCGTATATATTTTATGTTTGTTCGTATTGTAATTAAAATTATACAAAAGTATCTATATACATTTTTACATATTGTAAATGTATAAGCTATGATAAAATTTCATAATGGAATTTCCATAATACATAAATACAATGTTACAAGTTAATACAATATAAAATCTGAATTTGTAACTTAATTTCCTAAAAACAAATTATACACATCCTGACAAAATATCGATTATACGGGGTTTTTAATTCTTAACATCTAACTCAATGTCATTTACTACCATTAACCTCTCTTTGTAATATTGTTTGTTTTACTTTCCTACTACATCTACTTATATCTTATTGTGTATGACATTATTATTATTCTTATTTAAGTGTAGTATATGTATAGTACTCATATGTACAAAAATATTTGTTTATACATATCATATTAGGACGCCAAACACTTACTACATTATTTCTTTTCTTAGATACCCAAAGATAATTAAAATAGTTATTTGATTGTTTTTTTACTATATTGTATATTTTTGTATTATTCTTTAACTGATAGAATAAAGAGCAAATAAATAAATATTTAGAGAACCCTAGTCCTCGAAACCAATTATATAAGTCCACTTTATCCACCTGCAGACGTCATCAATGCACGTCGCATAACAATCGCTTATTGCTAGGCGATAAGCGAATATTGATTTTCACTTAAGGTAATGTTTTGCAAGTATTAGCTAATTGATGTTTCAATTAAGTGTATTATATTGTGATACGAATTTAGAGATCACCTAAATAGAACATTCGACGTTGACTCACAGAATCATTCACTATTACCCTTTTTAAGGGAGCATTGGCATTGGACAAATGTAGAGTTTTTTAAGAACCTCTAATTTTTTGTCGTTTTTCGACTTATATCTATTTAAAAAAAAAAAACTGTTCAGTTTCAATAGTAAAATACTCCCTTAAAGGGAATACAATATTTACTACGTTGAACTATAGAAATGGTTGTTATATCGAAAATTAACAAATTAAGAGCTAAATATAACTTCAACAAATTATTT